AAAAAAAAACGTTTTGAGTTACTATGTCGGTATGGATTTTTTAGTCAAACTCTCATTGAATTGATTGCGAATCTATCAAAAATATACTTCTGAAGTATAACGATTATTTAGATAATTTGTATAGTATCATACTGAGACTCAAGTCGATTTATTAATTGGCGATGCTTTTTAAAAACTTCTTCATTTCAAGAAATGACAGTAAATAAATTACTAATGAAAAATATCTCTGAGCTATATCAACATAGTCGATGACTTAGTTATTAGATTCATATTTTTACCAATGTGCGATCTCTTTGATGCAAAAAAAACAAAAATTTATGAAATACAATATACAAGTATAAAAAAATATGTTGTCTTCCTATTTTTTTCTCTCTTTAGAATTACTTATGAACAAAATGATGACCGATTTGAGTTAAAAATCTTTTGCACTAAAATTCAGAAGAAAACATTTGAAATGATGACTTATGAAACGATATCCAAAGTGTATTTAATAGAAACAGAACACTTTTACTAGACTATTTTATTATATCTCATATCGAAGAGAAGTATATTATATAGTTCCAATGATATAGTTAATGTTAAATGGAAATCAAAAACAATAAATTCATACAAATCTGAAAGAATATTTTATTTTCTAAGTGAAAGAATAGTTTTTAATTGAAAAACATACCTATTTTTCTTTTGCTGACTTTTTTTAAACAAATGAATAAAGAAAAATTTACTTTTGTCGATATTTCATTATATTCATAAAAAGATTATGCTGCATAGAAGTTGATCTTAAGATATTTATGTTTTATCATGGAATAAAGCCAACAAAAGAAATTTATTTCCAAGAATTTGATATGTGAAATGAACAGTATTATTATTCAGGACTAGTGAAACAAACTTCAGTATCACCAGGACTTCGGCAATGTAATAATGATGAATAGAAGGATACATGCTTATACACGTTTTTGTTTTATATGTAAATATTTTTCATCCTTCATACAATGAGTAATATCTGCTTGCATACCACCTTTTTTATTCTTTTGTTCTCATCTCTCTCCTTTCGGTCCATAAAATATATGTACTGTTCGATTGTGTACTAGTCTACTTTACACACTTTCGCACTCATGTTTATTCTCGTGGAGCTTCCCATGTAAAAAACTATTGACGTAAAAATCAACTGAAAAATGATTATAATCGGTTAAAATTTGATTAAAAATCGATTTAAATCATACACCTTTAATCGATTTTCGACATTTTTAATTAGTTCTAATCGGATATAACCGAGAAAAACTCAACTTTTCTTGATTGTTATGAAAAACTACAATTAAAATCGATTAAAGGTGTCTGATTTAAATCGATTATTAATCATATTTTAACCGATTATAATCTGACTTTTCTTTAGATATTTTTACATGGGAATTGTTTCACTAATTAATTTCATATTAGTTGAATTTAGACGAACAAGTGTAGAATTTATTTGTAAGATTGTTACTATATAACCATGATTTAATAGTGTTGTAGTATTAGATATACAACATTGTCTGACATTTAGCAAAATTCCTCGAAGAAATTAAAGACAAGTATTTGTCATTGTCTGTATTTCATATCGACGTGAAAAATTAGAAAAGAATTCACCCACATTATTTGACAAACAATTTATAAGAAAGTATGAAGATGAAAATGACATACAAAGATATTCATTGCATGTTTTATTCATACTTAGTCATTCTTCAAAAATATTATAATAAACTTGACAATCTACAAAGATGAAGACTTTTATAATTATGCTAGCGTATTAAGTATTAACCCTTAAAAGCCGCATGTCCATTCCAGAAGACATCGGAAAATTCGAATAAAATATGCGATATAATGCACTAATAATGTTTTTTTTTTATTTTCTGCGATTCATATGATTTAGTAGATCATAAAAAAAGGGTAAAAATAAATTCAAAAAATTATAAGAGGATAAAATACATTTTTTAAGACCGATTTTTTTTATAAATCAATTTTCTGTTTTGAAACGTTTCTGTATTGATGAATGCTAGAACGAAATCTATTTTTTCAAGTGGTTTCTCATGATACATCATTACTCTATCATATGAAATCATTCAATGATGTTTTGATTAATCTATTGATGAATTACGATGGCATCAAGAGAATGTCCCTTGAGAAGGACATTCGGTCATAACGGCCCAAACTATTTAACAGTCAAAACGTTTCTAAATTATTATTCGATCGTTTTTTTGGTGATTTTTGGCCTCAGTAAGGCCTGATAGGAACGAAAAACCCAAGGAGAATGTATCTTTCCTCTATAATCGTCGAAAATATTCGAAATTCTCTAATCTTTATATCGTTTACGGTAGAAATATGAATCCAGTTCTCATTCTAAATCTTCCTCGATCCTTCTTGCTCCATTTTTCTCAATAATTTAGCAACCACTTTATCCACGAATCAAATCCACTCACTCGAATAGAGGGTGATCGTCTTCTCGCAGCTAATATTGACCGTATGATCCCTAAATACACCCACGGACCCACACCCTAATGAATAGTAAAATTCGTAAATACTGAAAAGCTGTATAATATTGCTTTATTTGACTGTTTGTGTATCGAGAAATGAAGATATAAAAATATTTTGTGGAAAAAAAAACTTTCAAAAATATCAATACATGTAAAACACTTTGGTCCGTCAAGACCGAATATCCCTTCTAAGAGACATTTTATATCTCCAAAAGAAAAAAAAAACTTTTTTTCACTATCGATTATTCTTATTGAGGTACTAGACTTTTTATTTTTGCAAAAAGTTTGTTCAATTTGCATCGATAAGGCCTTCCGGCTTTTAAGGGTTAACGAAGAAATATTAGAAGTACAAAAAAAAAAGAATTGCTAAGTAAAGTAATAAAAGTACTGAGAAATAAAATAGTACGAGGTTTGATCGTGCTAAAAATGAAGACATAGTAGAACTGCCTTGTTTTTTTTGTCTTGATCGTTCAATATTAATGATAATAATCAACTTCCTATAAAATTATAGCCAATGAAAATTATTAGAATATTTCTGATATATTCAAATTTTAATTGAATTTATTATAAGACGATGTGACATTTTTTAAAGTGAAACTCATGTGTTTTTGTAAAAAGATATATCAAAAAAAAATTTTCTTTTCTTTATATATATTTTATTTCATTATATATTTATATAGCTTTCTTTTATCTGTACAATAAAACACAAAAACAAGACAACAAAACCGGAGGCAAAACAAAACAAAAGTTAATTTTCAAGTAAATCAATATTTTGTTCACTATCATCAGACATATCTTCATCTTTTTCATATGATTGTTCATCTTCAATACCATCTTCATCATCGTCATCATCATCCTCAATTTCACCTTCTTCATTATTATTGGAGAATAATTTCACATCTAAAATTAAATCAAATATTCTTAAAAATTTCTTTGATTAACAACGAAATTTACCTGAATTATGTAAAGTAGCATTATGTAAATTAAGTTCAAATTTATGTTGAAATATTTCATGACAATGATTACATGCATAAGGACCATGACCATTATTATTATTAGTTGCTGTTGGCATTGTTTTTGACATAATAGGTATCATTGATGAATGAGTACGTTGATGTGCATGTAAATTTGATGCACGATTAAAAGCTTTTGAACATATTCCACATGCATATGGTTTAGCAGCTGTATGAGTTAATTTATGTCTTGTTAAATTTCCTGGTTGACGAAAAGCTCGATCACATATATCGCATACAAATGGTTTTTCACCTGTATGAATACGCTAGAAATACGAAAGAAAAGTCTTAGTTAAGATAAGTTATTCTTCAATCATCATCATCAATATTGGTGTTAATCTGTCAAAAAACGCTTGTTACAAGCCGACACACGTTCACACTAACGTTAGTAGACATATGCCACGATTACATCAAACGTTCTTTTAGAGTAGAACAAGCGAATATATGTGCTAAGATATATATACATATATATCCATATTTGTTAACACAGAATTGAAAAATGAATACGTGAGAAAGAAAATCATTTTTTGTTTCTATTCTCTAGAATGAATTAGAACGGAAGAAATAAGCGTGTTCTTTTCTCTTCTAACCGGTTAAGCTTCGTATTGGTTAAAATAATAGAGAATTTTATTGGATAAAAATGTTTTTTTTACCTTATGTGTAACTAATGTATTACTTCTTGAAAATGCTCGTGAACAAATGTCACATTTATATTTTTTTAAATTTTTTGATTTTGTATTATTAATTGTTGTTGAATGTGAATTTGTTGTATTGCCATTTGATGTTGTTGGTCGTCGAATAAAATCTATTAATGTAGCTGATGATGGAACAAGAACATTATTATTTGTAATTGTATATTGATGATAATGTGTAGCTGATGAAGATTTTTTATTATTTGCATTTGTTGATGTTGATGCCTTTGGTTGAATTGATGATGATGATAATTGAGGAATTGATGATGGTGGAAGAAGTCCACCAGATGGACGAATATTGGATAGATAGGGATGAAGAAATGGAAATGTATGCCAAAATGTAGGAGGTGGAAGTGGTGGAACAAATGGTAAAGTTTGAGAAAGAAATGGACGTAATAGAGCAAGATGAGAATGAAAATCAGATGATGATGATATTAATGGGGATAGAAATGGATTTGTTATTGAATTTTTATTTGAATGATGTTCATCCGAAGATATTGATGTTCCATTTTTAGTTGATTTTTCATTGATCTTATCAATTGGTTCTGATTTAATTGATGATATACGACGAAATGCAGATTGATTTGATTCGGAAAAATGATGTCCATTTGATGATTTTTCTTCTTTAGTAGCAACAGGACTTTTGGAATCTAGATTAAGAAAAATATTATAGTTTAAGAAAAAAAATGTTTCTTATACTTTTCAACATACTATTCATATCAACTTCTTTGCTAATATTTGATTGAAATTGATTGATACACAACTAATTTCTTTTTTCTGTTTCTCCCTCTCTCTCTCCCTCTCCCTCCCTTACTTTCTCTTTTTATCTTAATTCATTACCTGTTGGCTGAAAATGTTTCCTTTTTTTTTTTTTCTTTTCCCGGAAAATATACGTATTACGTGTCGCATGCACGCCTGCCACCCTATCACGTACATATATGGTATGCATGTTCATCAAAGAAAAGCGCGACCGACTGTTACAATATTGAAAAACACGTCGTCATTCACAATTGTAATTAACAGACTAGAGAGATGGAGACAGAATGAGGGAAGAGAAAAAAAAAATCATAGAGATGAAAGAAAGGATTTTAGGTTTATGTTTGTATGACTCTTGGGATCACCCAGTAGGACATCGTCGTTCTTATATCGGCCCTGATCATGGTCAATTGAATGAAGAAGATTGTTGACATGGTATAATGCCGCTTAATCTACTTGTTCGTGTTCAAACGGTAGATGACGACTTGTTGACTTCGTCAGTAATAGTGTCGGGCTAATCAGGTGAAATAAGTTAAAAAAACTTTATTTTATGTTTCTATGATGTCGTTTATAAGAAATATTTCAAAATAAGGATATTAGATAATCTCTATTTAAGATTGATGAAGAAAATAGAAACACGTTTGATTGGTTATTCATTTTTCTTTTCGAATTTAAAATAGTGATGAATTGAATATGAGAAAAAATTTGATACTTATTCGTTATATCACATCATATTATCGATTATTTCTCAATAACTATATGATTTCATTACAACTTAAATAAAAATCGATCGATAAATTCATTGGTTAAAATTTTTTTCGACTATTCGGAAAAATACATATGTCTATATTATGTCACCTTTTTTCTAATATGAAATGTTCTTTTTATATATCTAACAGTTCTATTAGGATCTTGAATTTATTATATTCTTTTCTTATTTTTCCAGTCAACAAACAATCTATTTTCTTCATCTCTCAGTCTAATTATAAATCTTATATAGAGATTTTCTCTTCTAGTTTAATTATTCTTTTTGTGTTACAAAGATGCTAAAGACATATCACACACTTCATTATTATATTAAAGTAATATTTGGAAAATACTTTTCAACTATAACGTCTTTTATTTTTTATTATCGATCTGTTTATTTCAATCAGAAAATAAAGAATAATAAAACTTCTTTTATGTAGTTTTCAGGAAAAATTAAAATCTTTTCTTTATTAATTTTCACCAAGCTTTTATCTTATAATTATGAATAATTACATATACAGATGATTAAACAGCTTAGTAAATATATAAAGAAGAACACAACAAAACTCTGCATTTGATTGTATTTCTAACTGATGTTCGACTATTTCATGAAACATGACTAGAACTAGAACCTGATAATCATAGATTAAATTATGGCATTATTGATACGAATGAATAAGTATATCGAAATAATAAATATATGAACAGAAATATATCCGATAGTATTTAAGAACTGTTAAAATAAAATCTATATATGAAAAAAAAAAGTTTAAGGAAAAAGTATGTTATTTATTCGATTTGTTCTATAATACCAGCAGGTAAAATAGTAGTTTTTCTTATTTTTACCAGAACAGCATCGGCTATCCAAGCAGGGAGCATAGAAAGTGGAAATAACACTAAACTTGATTGCCAACCAGGGCGATATCGGATACGTGGAACACTATTTGTAACAGCATGACGTAATGCTTTAACAACCTTAGTCGGGTTTTCGGGATTATTTAAAAATATATCTTTTGTAAATACTTTCACGTAGTTTTGAAAATATTCGTTACCCCATCGAGTTTTTGTATCTTCATCAACTCCAGTCCATACATACTGATATCCGTGATCAATTCCATCAATAAGTGGTGTTCTCATATAACCTGGTTCAATTATAGACACATGTAAGCCCC